GTCATCTTATTTGCATAATTCCAAATTTCTTTGCAAAATGGTTGCATCATTTCATAGGTCCACCAACAATGTACTGGTTTCATTAACCTTCCAAACCCCTCCAACATTGAGTATTGCCATTTTATGTTATATTTGACAATTTTCAGGATGTGAAATGAAGCTTCCAGGATGTTTTGATGTGTATTTATCTTATTAGTAGTGATTTGGAGTTTTGGTTGTTTATTTGGAGTATATGGTTGTGAATACTTTGAAATTCTTCTTTTGAGAACTGTTTATTCATATCCTTTGACCATTTATCTATTGGAAAATGGCTTTAACATATACATATATATGTATATCTGCATATATGAATATATATATACACACACATATATATATCTTGATCTCTTGGTGATCTTGATATATCTATCTATATCTATCTATATATGTTATCTAACTATCATCTAATATATCTTGAGTATTAAGCCCTCATCAGGGAAATTTGATAAAAAGATTTTTTTATATTTGGCCACTTTTTCCTTCTTATCCTAGTCTGTGCAGAAGCTTTTCAGTTTCAAGTTACTTCTTCTGCTATAAACACAGTATTATGTTCCTTCTTTAATTTTTTTAAGGTGGCCCTGTTCCTACTAGCTTTTTCCCCCTTTCTCCTCTTTCCCTCATCCTCTCTTCTCATTTGTTACCCTTTTCCCTTTAGGATTTTGTTTATTTGTTCCTTTTTTCCTGCTTTTATCTGGTTATATATGTTTTTTTCCTGTTTAGTCAAGTAGATTTCCCTTTCTTCTCCTCCCCTTCAGCTAGTCCTCTTAGATTTCAATTTTATTTTTTTTGTTCCCCTTTCTAAAAGGAATTTATTTCACTATCTTCATTATTTATCTTATTTTATGTTTACTCTAGACCCTCATTCTCTGATTCATGACTCCTATAGTTATCTGGTCTCTTTTCTCTGCATTCTTCATGCTATCAAAACTTCGAAGGTATCCATTTTAGTGTCTCCCCTCTAGGCACTTTCTGCCACTGCTTTGTAAGATTCACTCCATGGATTCCCTTTTTTAATTGTGCCTTATTTCCAGAAAAATGCAAATAATAATAATTAGTAATAATAATAATAACAACAATAATAGCAGCTAACATTTATGTAGTGCTTACTATGCTCCAGGCACTGTGCTAAGCTCTTTATAATTATTGTCTTATTTGATGCTTATGATAACCCTAGGAGGTGGGTGCTCTTATTATCCCATGAGGAAACTGAGGCAAACAGAAGTTAAGTGACTTGCCTAGGATCACAAAGCTAGTAAGTGTCTGAGGCCAAATTTGAACACAGGTCCTCAGTTCTCTGGCCCAGTATTAGCAGTTCACTACTGTTTTCCCCAGCACTGGTACTTCTGGGTTGTAGCCCCTGGAAAGCTTTTGCTCTTGAAGAGTTGTGGTCAAGCAGGTTTTTAAGGCCCAGGCAAACTTCTTCAGGCTGAAACCAGGCTCTCTACGTCACTGGAAAGAGGGAGTGGGGAATGGGCCACAGAGGTAGGTTTTTACGTGAACCTGTGTTGTATTCTTTGGCTTTGCTAATGCAGACTTATGATTGGTATAGGAGGTAGGACAGAGGTGCAAAATGAGCTTAGGATTAGTGAACATCAGTTCCTGGGTTTGGTGGAGTTTTTTTTAACCTAGTGTTGGATTCCTAGTGTTCTGAGGCATGGAAATAGCTGAAGTTGGTTTATGTTCAGCACATAACATCTGTTTTAGAGAGGTTTGAGAGATTGTGGGGATAAGAGAAATAATGTCTAGTCTGCCATCTTCTTGTTCCTATGACCCAGAAGTCCCTCAAATTCTCTTGGTGGAGCTACAAAAAATTCTTTACATCTCGGTTGTAAGAGATGATTTCCTCTAGAGATCATGAGATCACAGATTTGGAATGGGAATGGACTTAAGAGGTCATTTGGTTTAACTCTCTCATTTTACAGATGATAGAACTAAAGCCCAGAGGATGAAGTGACTTTCATGCAAGTGAAGTGGCAGATTTAGGTTTTGCACCTAGGTCTTCTGAATGCAATTCCATTAATCTTTCCACTGCATCTTGAGAGGATTATGGTTTCCCCATCTCTCTGTACTCCAAAAATAACCCTCTATATTCTCATCCAAATTTACAACCATATTATTTGATGCCTTATAAAGAAGTAGGATGTGTATATTCATCCTCATTTTGCAGGTAGGAAAACTGAAGTTCTTAGAGGAACTTTATCCCAAAGACTTTGTGTAATTTCCCTGGGGAAACTTCTTCCAAACGTCTCATCACAGATAGGGTGAAGTTTTTCATTCCACCTAGAGAAACTGAAGGATGTCAAACAACACTAAAAGTTCTTTGACTCACAAGCTTAATGCCAAAGACCACAATCTATTTCCTGCCATTTGGTCATTCTCCTTTCCCTCTGCTCTTCTGATCCAAAGTTGGAGACATAGCCACAACTTTTAGGCACTTTCTCCTGCCTAAGATCTCTGAGGCAGCTATCTGCTCCCCAACTCCCCCAACTTCTCACTCCTAGCACACCTTAATAAGGCACTACTTGGCACTACTCTGCTGACAAGACTTTCAGCTAGGTTTGGCAAACCCATAGCTATTCTTTGTGGTTTAATCTTGTTCTTCATTTCTGGTCTGGTTACATAACATAACTACTACAGAGGAAAGATCACTGGAGAAACTCCAGCTACTTACTAGGAAAGTGATTTCTATGAAGTTATTTTATGATGTATTATTCATGGCCACTCACTGTTACAGGTTTTCTCCCTAGACTAAACTTCCTTTAACATTTTGCTTCCCTGGATCTTAAAAACTGAAGAATCCTGGCCAAGTGTCCATCCTTAATAGAGCCAAGGTTGTTGGAGATTTAAAAATTTACTTTTTTACTCCGTGTGTCTGTGTGTGTCTCTCCTTCTCCCCTACCCTCTCCTTTTTCTTTTCTCTCCCCTTCCCCCCGACAGGGTATGCCTAGGACAATAAGATTAAAAGCTTTCTAAGGATTCCAAGCAATTTTGGACTGGGACATCTAACAAAAAGGAGCAGTAATGACAGAGCTCTGTAGAAATCAGCTCACTAGCAAATATCTCAACTTTTTAGATTTAGGTGGTGATGCAACTCTGGCTGGAGGTCAAATCAGCTGTGCTATATGTGTTGTAATGTATCTCATGTATCATTAAGGATTTTGTTTATTTTAATATCTTTAATTATTAGAGTTCTCATTCTTATATCTTGTTATTGAATGTGTTTTTACTGTAAGAAAGTAAAGCTGTTAATAGTTGTGGACACTGACAATGGTGAAATAATTGAGAATAAGGTATAATTATAACAATGACAGAGCAGCTAGTTTGATGTTCTGTCATTAAAATATCAACCAATCACAATCTCCTCAATTTTGGGGGGGGGCTAGGCAATGGAGTTAAGTGACTTGCCCAGGGTCACACAGCTACTAAGTGTCAAGTGTCTGAGGTTGAATTTGAACTCTGGTCCTCCTGACTCCAGGGTGGGTGCTCTATCCACTGCGCCACCTAGCTGCTCCCCCTCCTCAAATTTTTATGAAGATTTTCTCCATGTTCTTACCAGTTCAGTGCTCAGATTGCAAATAGAGAGATCTGATCAAATTTGGGCACAGAACGGGATTTTAGCTATGATATAACCAATTATATTATTTCCATGAAAGATAGTTTTAGACACTCAGTAAAACCTAAAAATGTGAGATATTTTTACGTCATCTCCATCTTTCTGATATATACAGCTATCTCCTAACCATTAAATCTGTAGATGACATCATCATCTCCTATCCCCTATTAACTTTCAGTGGATATTTTAGTTTTTGTATGGAATGAGGATGAATCTATGTTTCCCATCCCCCATGATAAAATATTCATGGGCATTACTAGTTTGTTACTGTGTACATGTTAATACATGTTCAACCTTGTACTTACTAGGTGCTATAGGGGATATCTAGGAAATAGTTTCCTAATGCTGAGGCATTTACCATTTAATTTGGTAGATAAGACATATATGAAGCAATCAGGGAACTATTACAAAATAACATATTTTTAGAGGTATGAGAGTATGGCTAATAAAATGTGAACTATTACTAAGTGTTAGGGGAATTAAATGGGATTCAATGTGAATATGTCATCTGAATTTCCAGGAAAGTTATGATTTCAAAGTGTGTTTTTTACAATCTAGATCTGAGAAAATGACCTATTTTTTCCCCTCTTGATGAATTATTTCCTAGTCATCATTTTCAAGTGTTAGTGGTACTACAAAACAATATATTAACTGAAATAACATACCAAATATTCCAATATATTGGACAAACTATAAATAGATATTTTTGACTATTAGTTGATATTTTTGCATTCACTCTAACTATTGACGAAAATTTTTATTGCAGATTTTTAGGAGGTCAGGTACAAGAGGCACACAAGGCACAGATGGGTTTCCATGCACAGCACTAAAGGGAATACCTAGATTGATGAGATCACAGATAGATAGCAAAAGCGTGACAGATTCATGGCAGAAACATGTTTCTTAGACATTAAGAAATGTCTTAATTTAGCCACTGATAAAGTAGAATTATTTTGAGGTAGAATTAATCTTTGTATTAAAAAAAAGGAACTGAATAAGATTATAAAGATAAAATTTCTCAAAGCTGATATCCTTAACGCTGACCATCCAACTTCACATACAAAAGCACCTTTGCTATCATATACATTAGCTCTCAGAAGACCAGCCATTTCCATTCTGTCATCACAGAAGGAAGTCCAGGAAGATAAGCTCTTCAGTGTTAGACTATATTTGAAGTTTTGAGGCTGGCATAAAAACAGATGACATTTCAAATTTTAATTCTTAATTGTAACATTCATTAATGAGTAGTTTATAAGCTAGTTGCTAAACCTAGAAGATTTAGTTAATGTTATATTTTTGTTCAATTTACAAATCTGATCTATCATTATGGGACTTCTTTTGAGCTTACCATCTTCAGGAGCATGCCTGTATTCTTTGTCGTCCATAACTTCATAGTCAAAACCAAGCAGATCAATGGGGATGGTATATTTCCTTGCAAAGTTCTGCTGTGCTCCAGTTAAGAACGCTTGAGTGAAGAAAAAGCCTGAGAGCCAGAAGACTGGTGGTGTTCCCATTTCATGCCAATACTACGTAAGCACAGTGGGAGAGATAAAGGCTTTATCACTGTAAATAAGGTCTCTCAACTGTTAAGAGTTAAACATCTGCAAACAAAAATGGTCATAGAAACCATTCTAATTATATTTTAGATAAGTTATGTGATGAGCTGACACTATGAGGAGGAAGGGGTGCCACTGCAAGGGTAAAGGTGGGGTAGGGTACATAGAAAAGGAAAGGTGGAGATACAGAAGACAAACTCTTCCACTTCTATTTTTGCCAGGGATGGATAGCTTGAGTGTTAGGAATACGATGTAATGTTGCCCTTTGTAAGAACAGCTTCAATATCCACATCATCCACAAAGATAAAATTCCTAAATGCTCCATCTGTGAGGCCTTTCTCTGGAAATAGATTTTTGCCTGGGACCATTCATACTTCTATACTTCATATCTCCCTTAAAAAGTCCAAAAATCATAACACACAATGAATAGAAGTATAACTATCTGTTTGCAATTTTATACTTAATTAATATATATTATATAGTAATAATTATATTATTACTATATAATCTATATTATATAATTATATTAATATAAAAATTAATATAATTAATATACTCAATTCTTATACTTACCTTAACATCTAAAGATATCCATTTTCACTGAAAGTTAATGTAGAGAGTAGTCCACAATATACCACATTACCATATTACTATAGGAAACTAAACAGTCTACCATATTACAGACATTTAAAAAAAAAGAGACAAGCATAAAGTCTAGTCAGAAAGGTATATATTCCCATTTCTCTTATTCTAATCTGTCAAAATTGGATAATCTAAAACTCCTGAAGACTTCTCTATCAAAATACAGTTCAGTCTAATCTACAGAAGAGGAGCTGGGCAAGATGGCAGCCAAATGGCATACCCACATAAACCAGTGCAGTCTTTGTTTCTTACACAGATAGTCCGAGGCCTTCACAAGTAATGGAACACAACTTAGTTTTTCTTTTGTAGGCACAATGTCTGGGTGACAAGCTGTGTACTGAACTAATTACTGAGTTCATATCTTTTGTGGATCTCTGATACTAAGTGCACTCTAGGGAACTAGATTTGAAAGCTGCAAATTCTTTTCCACGTTCTTCCTTCCCCCAGCAGTTTTTGCAATAAGCATAAAGCCCAAAGCCAAGGCAGGAGGCCTGTGGGGAGACAGGGCAGAAATGTTCCTTAGTATTGACCCCAGATACATGTCTAAGAAAAGTGCAGTCTTTTATTGCTGCTGGATAGTATAATTGTTAATACTGTAGTAATGATCACTACTCTAAGAACAATAGCAGTGGAGTCTTACTTGCTTAGCCAATATTTTCAAGATAATTGGGCATTTAGATCCCTACCATCATGAAATCAACCAAATGAGTGATCCTTATGACTTATTAAATTACTATATATAAAAAATAAATCAGATTACTCATTGAGTAGCTGGTCAAACTAATTAAAATGCTCAATGTATATACAGTAGGGATCTGAGTTCATACTTGATACTCAATGGGCAAGCCAATTTAATTAAAGTTTTTTCTTTACATTTGATTGACTTGAATGCCCTTTGTAAAGTTGACTTCACTAAAAATGTACATCTGCCACTTGGAGAAGCCTCCGGAAAGATTTATCCTCAAAAATCAGTTTTATGGAACTATAGGCCAATGGGTTAGTGAAATGACTACAAAAATTACATCTGAGAACGAGTGGCAAGCTGGCTCTAACTGGCACAGTAATAAAAAACACCATGCTATCCAAATGGAATAAAATGACAAAAAAGAGCCTTGACTGTATAGCAGCTATCAGATTGGTTATTGCTTACCTCTAAGAATTTTAGCCTGGCAAGGAAATCATTCACGTAGCTGCCAAGTGGTTTGAGGCTTGGGTAGGATTTTCCCATCCACATTCCCGGAATTTTGCCTATTAAAATGCTTTTCGCAACCTCCTCCAGATCTGAAGACATTACAACAAGTCCCTAAAACAAATGTGACATTTGGTTAAAAAAAAAAAAGCAAGAAAACCAACCACACATCAGGGGCAGATGTAGTGGGCTACATTCACCTTTCTTATCCAAAACCTTCTGTATCCCTCTACTTCTCCCTAAACCCATTCTTTATCTTCATAGAAACTTTCAGGCTCTCCCTTAGCATCTTACTTTGTTCTCTCAATCCACCAGTCCTGCTCTGACCTTATTTTTCCTCTCTTCATAGTCTTGATACTACCAGTTGACTAGTTCAACTATATACAATGTCCTCCACTCTTGAATCTCTTGCCCCATGATCAAACTGTCCTTCATGGACTGCCAATTTTTAATCTTCAGTCATGGCCACTATCTACCTTCTCCATAACTATCTCTGTACTGCTGAATGCCACTACTATGCCAACTGGGTCCGCTACAAATTCATGTTCTCCCATCTTAGCTGGGTCCTAACTGCTTCCTAGTTAAAATCAATTCTAATGCAAGGAGAATTTATTAAGTGTCAGTCACTATGCTAGGTCCTAGGTATACAAAGAAAAAAAAAGGAATAGTCCTTTCCCTTAAAGGGCTTACATTCTTCTTGGGGAAGGGTAACATGTATATTCACACACAAGAAATGTACAAAAGAAAAATAAATAGAAGTAGTTTAGCATGGAGTAGGGCTTGAGGCAGTAACAGTTGGGGCAGGGAGCTTCAAGGGAAGAAGGTACTTTATTTGAACCTTGAAGGGTTCTGAGAGGTAGAGATGATCAAGGTGAACACTTCAAGCTGCGGCTGGGTTTTAGGTGGGAGACTGGAATAGTCTTTGCAAAAGCACAGAAAACTGCAAATGCGCCAGTTTGGCTAGAATATAGAGTATAAGGGAAAGTAATCAGTCTGAACAAGTTGGAGCCAGATTGTGAATGGATTTAAATGCCAAACAGAGTAATCTGTATTTTATCCTACAAGCAAGAGGAAGCTTTTTGAGCACAGAAGCAACATGATCCAACCTGTGCTTTATGAATATCAATTTGGCAGCTGTGTGGAGGATGGAATGGAGAGGGGAGAGACTTGATGAAGGAAGACCAGTCAGGAAACTATTACAACAACAGTCTAGGAGAGAAACAAGAAAAGGTTTAAAAAAGGTGTAAAGGAGGGTGGTTGTGGAATGTGTAGGGAGAAGTAGATGGATGAGAGAGAGAGGAGATTGAATCTGGGTAACTGAAAGGATGCTGATACCTTCAACAGAAACAGAAACTACAAGGAGGGATGAACTTAGGCGAAAAGAGGATGAGCTCAATTTTGGACATTTTGAGTCTGAAATGCTTGTAGAACTCTGAGGAGATGTACAGCAAGCAGGTGGAGATGTGAGACTGTTAACCTTCTATTGCCTCTCTTCTAAAACCTCTTGAAGTCCCTATACCTTTGCAAGCCTTCCTGCCCCCCATAACCTCACCTCCTACTACACTAAGAAAATCAAGGCCACCCATCATGAGCTTTTTTCTTTCCGTGCTGCAGAGTTTTTTAAACTGTAACTGCCACAACTCATTTCTGTGACTAGTTTGTGCCTTTTTAACATTAGTTTATTTAAATAATCAATTTCTTGTTTTCTTAATCTGCATATTTTAAATATTTAGAAATACGCTTCCTTTTTTTTTTAGTAAGTTACCAGTTTTGTTGTAATACAATTGGGCAAAATAAATTCTGAGTTTCCTTTATTTCATCTTTAGTTGTTATGAATCATCTTTTATTTTTGATGCCAACAATTTCATTTTCCTCTATCTTTTTGAAAAAAAAAATTAGGGGGCAGCAAGGTGGCGCAGTGGATAGAGCACCAGCCCTGGATTCATGAGGACCTGAGTTCAAATCCAACCTCAGACACATAATACTTACTAGCTGTGTGACCCTGGGCAAGTCACTTAACCCCATTGCCTAACTAAAGAAAGAAAGAAAAGAAAAAGAAAAAAAATTAGACTAGATGTTTATTTTTATTAGGTTTTTGTTGTTGTTAAGACCAGCTCCTGGTTTTATTTTTAATTCAGTGATTTTTTTTTCCTTTCAATGTTGTTAATCTCTTCCTTGTTGCTCACTAGTTTGGCCTTGGGATTTTTGGATTGCATGTATCTGTCCTTTCTCTCTTTTGTTTGATTAGAGTATTTAGAATTATACAATTTCCTCTAAGATTTGTTTTAGTAGTGTTCCATAGACTATGTTCTCTACTTACTTCCACCTCTGGGCATTCATTTGAAGCCCAACTCAAATGCCACATCCTAGAAAAAGCCTTTTCTGATTCCTTTAGTCATTATTATACCAACTCCTGACCCATACTGAAAGTTACATGTTGTAACTTCTCCCAAGAAGAATGTAAACTCTTCGAGGAAAAGAATTGTTGTATTTTTCTTTATATTCCTAGATCCTAGGTTGCGTATGTTTTCTCATTATTGTAATTTTCTTTGATGAAATTACCTATAATTTCTATGTTTTGTTCTTTGACCCACCAATGTTTTAGAATTATTCAGCCTCCAATTAATTTTAATTCTTTTTTCAAAGGTCCTTTATTGGATATACATTTTATTGTATCATTGACAAAAAATGATACCCCCAATAATATTTTTGAACAAACAGGTCCCTTTCCCCTAACCTAACAAGGATGCTGAGTTACCACATAGTCGGTCATGTAGAGTCTTTTGTTGCCAAATATAAGAATTGAAATGGGTAGGAGAAACTCATCAAGCCTCCTTATTTTTAAAGTCCTCAAACTCATCCAAAGAGCCTTCATTCAAATTGCTGCAATGAGTGGCCCTCATTCCTTCCCCTTAGCTCCTCAAAACCCCTACACATCTTTACCCTTTTTATCCTCTGCTCCTTCTCTTCAAGTAAAAAGTGGCTTGTCAACAGTAACCCTCTTAGGTTTCCTTCATCCTACTTTCTCTTATTTTCTCTGGGAGCTTGTTCCAGTGGTTATTCCCTCCTATTCTCTCATTTTCCATTTCTTCCTTTCCTGTTGTCAATTCACACTATCCCCTAAAGAGCTTTGCAAGCCTTAAAATGGCCTTGAGCAGCAAAACCAGCAACTGAGCCCACCCTAAAACAGTGACCCATTGCAGGGAGGAATTCTAATCTTCAAAAGATGAAGAAAATCCATTGCGAAAACTTTCTAATGTCCTAACTTTAATGGTCTATTATTTCTACCAACTGGGTAAAAGCAAGCATGTTCCAATTGCCTCCTTACTTGATATGATTGGGTAGTTCATATGAATTAAACCATTGTGTACAGTTTGACAAATGTGCTATTGCTCTACTGTCTTTTACTGATGAAGAAAATGAGCCTTTTAGGAGATTAAGTGATTTCTTCAAGGTCACCTAAATGTTTGTCTTGGAGATAGTTTAGAAATAAAATATCTAGTCTAATTCTATCAGATTATGCATCAGTAGTCAAAAGAAAAAAAAAGATGTTGGGGCGGAGCCAAGATGGTGGAGGGAAAGCAGTGACTGTCTTGAGCTCTCTCCCAAAGCCCTCCAAATACCTAAAAAATGGCTCTAAACAAATTCTAAAGCAGCAGAACCCACAAAAAGACAGTGAAACAAATTTCCAGCCAAAGACAGCCTGGATGGTTGATCCCCGGGCAGGGAGAGGAGCACAGTTCGGTGTGGGCGGTGCTCAGGCCGCAGCAACCCTGGAGCAGGCCTCACAGCACTGAATCGAGGGCAGCTGTGGTGGGTTCTAGACTTTTCAACCCCTGAATGCCAAAGACAACTTAGAAGGTCAGTGGCAAAAGTTTGTGACTGCGGTGAGAGAGGAGCTAGGTCTCAGCCGCAAGTCTCGAGCGCGGCCTAGGGCTGTGGCTTTTTACTGAGCTTCTGACCCATAGACTGAGGGGGAATCGAGTGGCTGATCAGAGGGAGATTGCAGGGATCTCTTTGCCAGTGTTGAGGCAGGAATCTCTTGCTTTACCAGTGCTTGGATCTGGGTCACAGTTCTGAGGGGCGATCCTGGGTCAAGGAGGAGCGCTGGCATCGTGGAGCTTATAGTGGCAGTGGAGAGAGAAAACACCTCGCCCCTTATCATGGCACCTTGGAAGAACTGAAAATTTTCAGGACCCTCAAAGTATCTCTGAAAACAGCTGTACAAACCCCCGAGGCTTGGGACAGTACACTCTTCACATTGGAAGCAGACTCTTACCTTAACAAAGAGTTTAAAACTCAAGTAATTGGCCAGGATCATGAGTAAGCAGTGCAAAAAGAGTCAGACTATACTATCTTACTTTGGTGACAAAGAAGATCAAAGCATACAACCAGAAGAAGACAACGAAGCCAAAGCTCCTACATCCAAAGCCTCCGAGAAAAATATGAATCAGTCCCAGGCCTTGGAAGATCTCTAAAGGGATTTTGAGAAGCAAGTAAGAGAAGTAGAGGAAAAACTGAGAGTGATGCAAGAAAATCATGAAAAACAAGTCAACAGCTTGCTAAAGGAGACCCAAAAAAATACTGAAGAAAATAATACCTTAAAAAATAGCCTAACCCAAATGGCAAAAGAGGTCCAAAAAGCCAACGAGGAGAAGAATGCCCTAAAAAGCAAAATTGGACAAATGGAAAAGGAAGTCCAAAAGCTGACTGAAGAAAATACTTCCTTAAAAATTAGAATAGAGCAATTGGAAGCTAGTGACTTTATGAGAAATCAAGACACTGTAAAACAAATCCAAAAGAATGAAAAATTAGAAAACAATGTGAAATATCTCATTTGAAAAACAACTGACCTGGAAAATAGATACAGGAGAGAGAATTTTAAAATTATTGGACTATCTGAAAGCCATGATCAAAAAAAGAGCCTAGACATCATCTTTCAAGAAATTATCAAGGAAAACTGTCCTGATATTTTAGAACCAGAGGGCAAAATAGAAATTGAAAGAATACACCGATCTCCTCCTGAAAGAGATCTCCAAAGGATAACTCCTAGGAATATTGCAGCCAAATTCCAGAGTTCCCAGGTCAAGGAGAAAATATTACAAGCAGCCAGA